ATTAACCTTGATGCCTCAGGGTGAACTCTAGCTTAGGAAGCAACACTCCCTCTGTAGGGGGCCCCTTGCTGTCTCCTGTCTGCAGGGAACAAACAGCTCATTTTCTAGGATCTGCCACAAGAGAAATCCCAATTTATAAATCTGTAATTCCTTCAATTCCTGAACAAAGGTTTTCATATAATATTTGGTATAAAGTTTGGCTTCCCATAATTTCTGAATAATCTTCAGCAAGATTTTATTTCCAAATGATGTTAATGCTTTTTTTAAAAAAAAATCATTTTCATGCTCTGTTGGATGACCTTCCCCCCCCCCTTTTTTTTTAAATGGAACAAATAAACATCTTCCAGTTGGTTAGCCAGGTAGCTGTCTTCCAAATTTGTTGGTATAGACTGGTTATCACATCCAAGGCTGCATTTGTATCCCAAACCACCTCAATTCTTATTCCATCAACTACTGAGGCCTTATTATTATTTTTTTTTAGTCAATGCCTGAAATGCAGCTTGAATTTCTTCCTTTAGTATCATCGTTTCTTGAGCATATTATACGTCCTGAAATGCTTCAGTGTTGAACAATTCTTTTACAGCGCTGTACTCTTTCCATTTTCTTTCTGTATGTCTCGTACGATTCAGTATTTTTTCTATAAAATTTTTCCATATTGCAACTCGAGGCTTGAGTTTGTTCTTCAGTTTTTTCAGCTTAAGAAATGTTAAGCATGTTCTTCCCTTTTTGGTTTTCTAACTCCATTTCTTTGCACATTTCATTGTAATATTTTGTCTCCTCGAACTGCCCTTTGGCATTTCCTGCTCAGCTTTCTTATTTCAGCATTTCTTCCCCTTGTTTTGGCTTCTTTCATATCAGTGCAAGTAGAATCTCTTCTGACATCCATTTTGATCTTTTTCTCTTTTACTTATTTGTAACGACTTTTGGTTTTCTTCAGTCATTTATTCATTGTCTCAAATCTATTCTTCTTGTTGTGTATCATTCAGTCGAACCGACCCATAGCTGACCCTCCGGCAGGTTTTCAGAGGCAGTTAATCTCTCGGGAAGAGACTGTCTATCCCTCTCCTGTGAAGCAGTTAGTGGCCTCGAACCACAGACCTTCGGGATTGCAGTGCAGCTTCTTGTCACTAGGCCACTCATTTTTAAATGCAGGTGGGATCTACTCAAGATTATATTTTATCTCTTATAGAGTTGTTTTCATTTTCTTCAGCTTCAATTTGAACTTGAAAATGAGTAGCTGATGGCCTGTTCCATAGTCAGCTCCTACTTTTCTTTTTAAAAAAAATATTTTTTTATACCAGTTTATTTACAAAGTTAAAATACACTGTTTCCCTCACTGGATCATTCCCATTACCCTCAGTCCCCTCCAGTTATCAAATTGTGTGACTGTAGGGATTACCACGCCCCACCCGCTGCCCCTCCTCACCCCTCTGCTTCCACCTTTCCCACCTCCTTGGATCCTCCGACTCATTCTACAATAATGGTTTTATATAGCATTTTCCCATATGAGACTGAGTTAGTTAACTCAGTATAATGCTCTCCAGTCCCTCCCTAGTTAGGTAGTAACTTACAAAATCATAGCTCCTATGTGCTACGAAGTCCGAGTTTTCTTGACTGTCAATACTGTGCTCTCCAGAGATGTAAGCAATCTGATTCCTGTGTAGTCCATGTCTGTGTGGTTTTTTGTTTGTTTGTTTGGTTATTATTTTTTTTTTATAAAAGGTACTTGCAGGCAGGGAGAAAAATGCAACAATGAATGAATGGAAATCCAAAATCTCTGTAAATGTTCATTAAAATTAATTTTTTTTTAAAAAAAAAGGTACTTGCAATGAGTAAATCTTTAACTGTATAAAATTCTATCAGGTAGCAGGGTTTAGGGCTGTTGTGCATAGGGTCACTATGAGTCGGAAACGACTCGACGGCACATAACAACAACAACAAGAAGACCATATTTTCTAACTACCATTCCTTCTTGTTTCCAACTTTTGCATTTCAGTAATCAATGACTATTGTTGTTGTTGTTGTTATGTGCCATCGAGTCGTTTCTGACTCATAGCGACCCTATGCACAACAGCTCTAAACCCTGCTCTATCCTGCACCAACCGCACCGCCTCTGACACAACCATCCCGATTACCCCAGT